CCCTCAGAGTCGTCTTCATGCCAACGTCTTGGTATTGGAAGAATTCGGTTTGTACTGGACGATTCTTTTACTCATATTTTTGCGAGCATTTCAAAAACTCAGTGATTGCTATGTTACAGATATACACAGTATTGTAATCAAGTTTAGATTATTTTACAATTAATCTAGAATGACAACATCTAGAATAGTTATTAAAAGTTGTAAAGTAATACTTGGAACAACTGTTCAACGTAATATCGGGTCACGGTTTTGTGCGCTATTACATTTACAAATAATTTAAAAGTCAAATATTTTAATGTCGTGCTACATTTTGTTAAGTATATGGTATGACACGTGAGGATTGAAACACGATAAACATGACAACATGACATTCTATTGAACCACAAACAACACATTTCACAATGCAGTGTCCTGCTTCGGGTGCCTATTAATAGTAAATATTGTAGGGTTGGCCTACTTCTTTGTTATATGCTCATGTTTACTCTTATTTTTCTTAGAGATTATCGTCGCCATGGCGACAACGAGTCCGACTGTCACCCAAGGCGCAGGTAGGTGATTTAATTTAAATGGCTGAAAATGGTCCTCAGTATAAAGCAATCAACACTGAGAATGCGTTTTCTGTTATTCAAGTGTAATGTACATTTGGAACTGTTAATAATGTAGTATGAGTTTGGTCTTAATTTCGGGGTCATAGCGCCATCAACGTTCAAAGCGACGTACTATTTTTTTTCTTTCTTTCTTTCTTTCTTTCTTTCTTTCTTTCTTTCTTTCTTTCTTTCTTTCTTTCTTTCTTTCTTTCTTTCTTTCTTTCTTTCTTTCTTTCTTTATTTATTTGTTTATGTATTTATTTATTTATTTATTCATTTTGTAGATAGTCTCAGTAGTGCACTGGGCGTGGATAGCCGAACCCGTCAGCTGATAGCTGGGGCCATAGGCCTTGGACTCCTAATTTTGGTGGCCATGGCGTTATTTTACAATCTTAAACGGTATTTTTCCACCTTCGAGTTGCCATACTTTGACATATAACCACGTGCTCATGTACAGTGCCACATTATGTGTGGTTATATAGGGTTTCAGTGATGATTAACGAGGAGAAAATATATTAATTGCACCAGTCATTCATAGTTTGATTGTAAATAATTACAGATAAATAAATCATAATGTAGTAATTACAGTGCATGTTCAACTTCCATGCGAAACGTAAGGTTTAATAAGTCAAGGTTATATTTTAATCATGCACTTGGCTTCGCCTTATTGCTGATGACGTCACGGTGTTTTTGTATGTGTAAATATGAGCTGTCTTAATGCATTGTTATGTTAATGTTGCTTCTGTTTTGTTAATCTTCTTCTATCCAGTGTGGCGAACGTATCATTAAATCGAAAGAAGGTAACGTATAAAGCACATATAACTATATCTACTTGCACACAAATGTTTTTGACGTGAATTTGTTTTAATTGTTGTAGTAGCATTAACTTTTAATCACATAATATACATAAGAGTTAAATAAAACTCGGCTCATAATTATATCTCAAGTCATGAGCAGATCTGTAAGAATAGTACGAGTGCCCAGCGAGATAACTTCGTTTATGGCATAGCGCCCCCTTGAGGCCGCATAATATTACCCTTCGTTCTCAGAGTGCGTTGAACCTGATCCACATGCTCGTTCAGTTTACGGATGTGGAATAAAATGCTCACATTTGAGCAGATTATGTTCCCTTGAGCTCGACCCGTTATGCATTCATAACCTGTTTTATAGAAGTACGTGCTAGACATGCGATATATTGATAATTTGAAACGAGAATATCCTTCAGGGAATTTAAATGTGTGTCAGAGAATAATTATGTTATGTTATTCATGTCGAATTACATTTATGATATAACAATTGAAATCATGCTGGCCGTAGAATATACAATATAATTACTTTTTTTGTTATGATTATATAAGTACCATAGTAGAACCATAGTAGATATATTACATGTGTCAGTCATTCGGCCCATATTGCATCGTACTATGAAATAGTATTACCCCATTTATATACCTAACTCTGTAACGTCACTATGACATAATTCGTTACTCCGCGAGTAAAAAAATACTGAGGTGTGATGCATTTTTCACAACAGCACTGACATTGTATAATGTATTTCTTGGTGTCTTTTTTTCAGTTTGTCTCGTACGCCAATTTCAAAGATCAGTTGGACCATAAGAGTCGAAGCTAGAGCAGATCGGGAACGGAACGAGTGGATATCGTCACGAATGCGTCGCCATTATATGAAAACAAAAAGAACACGAATCAAGGGTTCCGGAGAAGATAAAGCAATTTTACCAAGTTTTCGGGATCTCGGGGTAAAGCATTCGACTTACTCCAATGGAATGACCGTATAAACTGCATTGATATTTACGGAATTATGTAGTTTTTGTTCTTATACAAGTAGTATCAGGGAGCAGGGCACTCCCAAATGTAGTGCAATCACTTTACTGACATGGTATACCGTTGAGGGCGTATATTGTGACTTAAAGAATGGTTTGGCGGAAATTATATTTCTACAGTTTTTCGCCGCTTTTGTTAACGGATATAAACAGATTTCTATCATTATGTTATATGTTTCAACATAGCGACATAACGTTAATTGTGTAAACATTTACAATTTATAATATTTCGGATTATAGACGGGCTTGTAGAGTTAATCATGGTGAATGTGAATTTTGGATTACATATTTCATAGCATAAAATAAAATATAAGAATCACAATGTATCGTACAGAAAAGTTGTTGTTTAATCCCAATTGTATTCTAGTTGTATCATATTTCTTTTATCGAACCATCTGAACCTTGGCCTCGGAACATTATATCGTGCGAACTGTGCACTTCATCATTGATTCGACTTCATTTGAATAATTTTAGATGACTTATACAGTCAATACAAAACTTAATATTTAGTCCTGTGTTTGTATGTTGTTTTCACCCGCAATTAAATTTCGGCTCAAATTTCTACGCGGGTTTGGTAGCTTTTGATAACCATTTATTTACGAATTTATTCTTTGTGCAAATTAGCTGTTTATATTTTTAGAAACTGTGATTGATGTTAGATTGTGAATGTCCGTAACGCTGTTTCAAGTGAAACATTCGTAATAAATATATAGTCGGGGATAATGTCAAACATAAAATAAAATCATAATTAATTAATTAGTTATATGACTAATTAGGGTAGTTGTTACGTGAAACAAGATACTTGTCAAAATGCCACCAAAACAAAATTACACTTTCGGTATGCCGCTCTTGTTCTTGGATATCACATTTACTCTAAGTGAACAGCTCAGCCATGGACAAAGGAAACATTGTAGCACATTGGGCCTGGGATTTTTTTGATTATTGAGATTACTATTGTACATGGAAGTGGTGCCGGTAAATTAGAATATAGCACAACGTATCTCTGGGTGAAGCTTGCAAGTACACCATAGTATTGTAATACCACGCTAAGTTTGAAGGCTGAGCAAGAGGTTCTTATATTAGAAGTCATGGGAAGGGAGTGGGGTTGTCTCCCTCTATCGGACATGCATATCATTAATTTTGTTTTCATCGCACTCATACTACTTAAAGCAAAACTAGGTAACCAAAAATAATGTATTCTACATTTGCAACCACAATAACAGTTCTTTACATACACTTGAAAAGATTCAAATAGTTACATATACGATTCCAATGAGAAAAGGATACAACTTGAACATATACAAATACATTTCCATGATGATAGGATATTTTTCTCGGTGCTAGCTTCATTCATTTACTAAATGCGTGAAATACATTTTACTGTAACATTTAAATGCTACTACGATATGTGTTTAATGAATTGACAGACGCGATTAACTCAATTCACTGACAATTTAAACCTAATCCCGTCATCCCCATGACATTTTACATTGACTTTGCCTCATAAGGGGTAAACGAGATCGTCACGGTTAATTAAATTACTGGTTTAATACTTTCAGTGTAGTAAAAAATAATAACAACTCTTCAACGTCCCAGTAGAATGGGATTTTAATTAGAACTTTGGAGAGTCGTCGTTATTTTATATTACACTGAAATTTACGATCCGATCCGATATTACAGCAAAGTTTGAAATTTCCATGCGTAACTCACTAATACCGGTTTAATAATAATTTTATAAAATTCGATCGAATCGACACCAAAGGTAGCGTGATGTATATTTTAATTAAGAAGTGTTTTTTTGTATGATTAATGATTCATATATTTTTTTAATTCCCAATGCAATGTCTATGTAACGTACAACGAAAACTATTGGCATTCCCTACACTAAAATCAGTGTTCCTGTTTTAAATGAAAATGTAAACATTCATCACAAATCAGAGTGGGAAACCACACTCAAACATCGAACAATTCTCTATGTTATAATAATGTAAACAATTATTTAAATTGCTCAACCAATTAAAAAATAAAATGGAATGAAGATTCATGATTTCGCTAAGACAGATAATTTTCAAGTGTAAATTAGGGCTGCTTATGCCCACAAATGTATAATACAAGATAAGTAATTGGAATCAGAGTTTTGTGTTTGTTTGTTTTTTCGTCTCGACAAAATAGAGTGGTTACCATGTGCGATTTCAATGATAATGATAAGCAGAATCAGTTACAATTTACAAAATGTTATAGTTATATATTTACACAAAGCCGTATACCGCTTGTGACATCCACAACTGCCTAATCTGTGCATCTAAATTTATCGAAAACAGTTACAGTAGTTGAAACTATTGAAATCACATGGAGCAATATCATTGATCTACTTCATACATGTAACACGGCTACTATTACTAATCCAAAACAGTTGTTCACCCAAACGACAATCAGTTAAATTAAGAAATGTGTCCCCAATAGCAATGAACTAAAGAACATAGCACATTAGTATTTGGGTAAATCAAAGACGGCCGATTCATCGAATCATATTGTGAGTTCCTTTACTAGTGAGCACACAAAGTTAATTCTTTCAATCAGTTTTTAGCATAGAGCCACCATATTTGCGCTGCCCAGAGTCCACCATCTTTAACTTCTCTATCTGGTCCATTAGTTCAGCATTGTTCTTAATGTATTGATGAACAAGTATGTCATCAGAAATGAATGATTCGGAAATATGCTTGAATCTGATTAATGGCAAGAGCTCTGGCAAGAGTGTTTGACGATTCTCAGCATCGTGATCTACCCAGCTCATGATTGCTACAAACACTAATTCTTCTTTTGGAACACATAGCTCATCTGATGAAACAAGGTCGACCAATCGCTCTTTGCTAATGTGTGGAAAGTACTCAAACTGGCATGCTTCCACAAAACGCGAAAGTGCATATTCGCGAGACTTATGCGCTAAGTCAGTGTTTCCAGCTGTGTCAGCTACTTTTAAGGTCTTGAGACAAGTTGAGGAATTCAGTATTTTAGCCATTACAGAGAAGCAGGCTTGAGATGCATCACTGATTAGCAACTTCTTTGCCGCTTCAAAGACCCTGTATAAATCCCTTTCAGTGAAGGCAATCTTGGATGTATAAATGTAATCAATGAGTTTCTTAAGCACATCACCTTTGATCTCTGTAATGGCCACAGTATCAGATCTCTTTTTTTCTGTGAACATAGATAAGAAATAATCACTACACGCTGACAGCAACGCCCTGTGACATGGTAGAATTTCATGGCCAGACTTTAAGATAACATCAGCAAATTGACTAGTTGGCCGGAATTCATGCAATGTGTGTAGAATTTTATTGTTGTGGTGATGGTCATAGAAATCGAAGGTGGGTGATCTTCTAGACATTTCAACTACAGGTACATCTACTTCCTTTTTACTACCATCTTTATATTCTGCTTCAGGAACAAGACATTCTGCCTGTTTAACTATCTCTGGCACTGTGGGTTTTGGTTGGTTCATTATCTGTGCTAGTTCACCATTGGTAACAAAATCATTACAAGCCTCGCTGAGTGTATCAATCTGAAACAGGTTTGCTGCCTCTAGAATTGAATTCACTTCTCGTTTTGGAACAGAAACCTTGGATGTATAAGCATAGTCAACTATAGTCTGTAAAACACTTCCTTGAACACCCCTTATGTCAATGATATCTGTACTCGCGGAGAAAGTACACGAAAGTGTCTCTCTGAAGTAGTCACTGCAGGCAGCCATCATCATGCGATGACAGTATATATCATTTTTACCAACTTTAAGAATAAGATCAGTAAATATTTTGTTGTTTCGAAACTCATTCAATTTATTGACAATTGCATCAGAGCGTCCTAACTCATGATACTCATGAATTGGATATCTTCCTGGTGACATAGATGGTTTGGGAGATCCTGGTTCTGACTTGACTGCATGTCTTGGAGAAAGCGTCAATGACTCTGGGTGGAAATCACTTTTATTGTGTGATGGACTTTGAGGAGGCATTTTCCTTGGGGATGAAAGCGAGGATTTGTGTCTGGGAGACATCACTCCTTTTTGGGTTGTGGTTACTGTTTGTGGTCCTTGACTTTCCTTCGTTATGACAGTTCGGGTAGCAGTTATGCTGCCTGCCTTTCGTGGAGGCCCACCCTTTGTTAAACTGGTGGTTTTTGTGTTACGCACTTTTCCATCTGGTCCCATTTCTGATTGTGTTGTCAGAGTCTTGGTTCTGACTGTGGTTGGAGTGGAACTAACTCGCTGTGTGGGTGTGGTCGTTACAGTTCTTTTTGTTGTTGCAGAACTAATTCTAGACGGTGAGCCATTGACTGTTGTAGCAGAACTTTTGGTCACAGTAGACCCAACCTTCGATTTACCATTAGTCACTTCCCTTTCCCATTTAGTAGATGGATCGGTTTTATGTGCACTTGATGGGCGACCCGTTGGCTTTGTTTGGGGTGTTTTATCGTGTGCTTGTTTTGGAGGGGGTGGTTTTCCCCATGTACTGATTGCTTTTCTTGGTGGTGGAGTTCCCCATGTACCAGTTGTTTTCTTGGTTGTTGACTTTGTAGGGGACACTGGAGCTGTGCGTGCAGTGGTTGGTCTGGTTCTTGGTGTACTTGTTCTGGACAATGTATTTGGTGGGGCACTGAGAGGTCTTGTTCGTTCACCTGCTTTTTTAACTGGTTCAGGATGCCCTTCTTTGTCGATCTTGTCTCTGAGTTTGTTTTGAGAACTTGCAGTTGGGGCAAATAATCGAGATGAAACTGTCTTAGTGGGTGATGCTTTCTTTCCTTTGGATGTCGATGAATCGTGTGTTGATCCCACAGTGTTAGCTGTAGCAGTTTTTTTGGTAGATGAGACTTCCTTTGTGATTGCTGCACTTGCTTCGGTAGGTTTGATATCCGAGTGTGTTTTCAAGTTGTTAACAATTATGTCGTCTTGCATGGTAGTCTCAGTTATAGTTGACTGGTCACTCTCATTTATTCTCTTTATATCTACTTCATTCTTCTCTAACTGGACACTAGTTTCGGGACCATCTTCTTTTTCTTTTATACCATTCTCGTTCTTCACAGCTTCGTTCATCTGATCACCGCTGTCGGCGCCACGAACAGGAATTGCATCACCATTATCCGCAGCCCCTTCTAAAACCCTGTCATCATTTTCTTGTCCCAATTGTCCATTAATTAGTTTGTCTGTGACCTCATTTGAGGACATTGAGTTCAGTTTAGAAGAGTGTATTTCGTTCATACTTTCTGTAGTTACACATGGCTGAGTTGGGGCAGGAGCTGTTTCAACCTCCAGACCATTGGCTTCGTTTTCCATATTTAGTTGTTATTCAATGAGCCTGTGGAATCAAACAAAATATATGCGTCATTCCTTTGTCAGGGTATCATATAAGATATGGTCAGAAATGTTCAAGTCTTTTCATTGAAGAAAAAAGGTAAATCTCACAGTAATTATTATTATTATAACCATATAGACTTATTAAAAGTGGTAGTTCTACATAATCAGTCATTTTGCATTGGGCTTTATTGGTATAATCACCACGTTATTTTGTTTAGAGGTGGGTGGTCATTTATCAATGTTTCGGTTAAGAAGTGTGTAGCATTTATTTACTTTTACACATGGTCCTTATATTCAAAGCCAAATACCGGAAAAGGCTGAATAAAATGCATCGCCCGGATGCGCTCACTGGTTGCGAAAGTTGTGAGCTGAGTGTTTTTTT